GAATGGACGCCAGGACAGGAGCTCTGGGCGGGGCAGGGGGGAGGGGGAGGGGGGAGGAGGGAGAGGCAGGGACACCTGCCTGGGGGAGGTGGGCCCTGAGTCCTGGGACAGAGATGCAGCCCCCAAGGCCACCCGGCTGTGACGGCCAGGCCCCGTCGACCTGGCCATCCCCACCTCCCAGGGCTGCCCCCGCCTAGTCTCCTGGGAACCTGGCCTCCTCCAGGAATATACTCGAGTTATCCAGGCAATGGCTGCCTATCACTTGGGTAAGTGGGGAGTAAGATGTGCTCAGAGAGCGTTTTATCCTTGGAAGGTGGAACCGGAGTCTGTGCAGCTGGCCTTCTGGTCGATCCTCCCTCCCCCGCCCCCAGCAGGAGCAGGTCCAGGCGGAGGTCCGGGGGTCGGCGTGTTCGCAGTCACCTGTGGCACAGGAATGAAGCTGCCCCGGCTCTCCTGTTGTGGGGAGAGAGGACATGCATGTCACACGTGTGGAAACAGCGCCCCCGCCCCTCAGCCCTGTTGCTCCGTGAACACGGCGTGGAGAAAGGAAACCATTATCCAGCTCTTTGCAGAACTCTCAGCCTCCAGCCCTGCGGATCAGCTCCTAGACTCAGCGTCACTGGGCTTGCCTGGCCCCCACTGCATCCGGCCTGCCTGGGGGCTGGCGGCCAGCACCGTCCCGCAGGGCACTGGCTGGACCGCCGTGCCAGCCACCTCGCCTGGGCTTCACGGCTCACGGCGGTGGAGATTCAGCGCCCCCAGGCCTATCGCTTTCCACAGCCCGTGTCTCAGCACAGCTCTGTTTGTGGAAAGTACTGGGGAGCATTTGGGATGTGCGTCTGGGCCCCAACCTTGCACTTTGTATTTGTAGCCAGAGCATGTGACTGTGTCTTGGCGTTTTGCCTTTTCTTGCTTTTACAAATTTTTAAATAAATGAGCATAAATCAGAGCATTATGAGCAAAATGTCCAAAATCATGTAGTAAAGCGGTATTGCCAGTCACCTGGGTCCAACTCTGGAGCCTCTGGGCTTTGAGCGCTCACCGGCCGCTGACAAAGCACGCCGGGCTCAGAGGCCCCTCCTCCCGCACCCATCCGCTGCAGGGCCAGGGCCAGGGGTGTGGTCTGAGATCCTCCCCCAGGTGGTGCTGGCCGTGACCGAGGCCTCTGGGAACCCCCAGCCCCATGCAAAGCCTGCACAGTGACCCCAGGGAGGCGGAGGGGCTCACCTTTCTCTCCGCCCGCGCCCTTTTCCCCTCGGTCTCCTGGGGAGAGACAGGAGATGCACAGGACGTCTGGTCAGTGGACATCGACCCTGCGCTCTGGAAACCACCCAAGTGCTCAGTTCTTCGGGAGCTGGGGCGTGGGGGATGGGGTTGAGGCTCTGGGCACCACACACGCATGCTCCGCGGCCCACACCTCTCCAATGCCTGGGTCTCAGCCGGGGGAGTTGTGGGGGGACTCAGAGGCCTGCATTCTGCCCTGGGTTATGAGAGGCTGCTCTGGACCTGGGGCCCCGAGCCCGGGACCCAGTTCACATGCTGTCTTGAAGCTCTTTGGAAACAGGAAATAGGACAGGTACCTCTCTGTCACTTGGCCCCCTCCCTCTCTCTGTCTCTCTCCCATCTCTCTCTCCACCTCCTCCCTCTATCTCTCTGTCTGTCTCCATCTCTCATGTCTCTGTAGACAGGCCCCGGGGTCCTGCTCAGGGGTCCTAGCTCTTCATCACCTTTGGTACCTTTGGGCCCGGCCGGCCCTGCCTTCCCAGGGACTCCGGGAGAACCTCGCTCTCCTGTAAATTCCAAAGATACATCATTGAGGAAAAGGCAACCTGAAGAATTCTACTTGAGCATCTCCGCCCTAAGGAACATAGTCCTGACCCTCCCATCCCAGCTGCGGTATCCTCAGGATCAGTGCCCTGGGACTCAGCCCGAGGGTGACAGCAGACGGCGGGGACAAAGCACTCACAGCCACCCGGTGCCGACCGGCCGGAGCGCCAAGCTCGGGCCCCAGGGAACCACCGGCGATCTGGCTCCCGACCACCTCAGTGCATCAGCCCAGGTCCAGGCCACCGTCAAGGAGCCCCCCTGGCTACTTGGGGGCCTGGGACCAAGAGCACGTCCTCAGAGACCCTGTCACACAGGACCCTCCGGCCCCTTGGCTCTGGGAGGGAGGAGGGGCCCTGCCCTGTGCTCAGCCCTGGACGCAGGGGCGGTCGGGAGCAATTATGCATCCCTCTGGGGTGGTTCTGTCTCCACCTCCAGAGAGGAGGGGTCGGAAGCGACGAGGCCTCCCAGGTCTGCGTTATTGATGTGAGCAGGGGTCTAGGACCACCCAGGGCCCTGCCCCTCCTCCTGAGCACTGATGGGAGAGTCAGGAGAGGCGGCCCCAGGCTCAGCCAAGGTAGCAGGAGCGCCTGCCGGCAGGCTGCCCTACCCGGGGAGTGTGGGTGTGTGGGTGTGGGGCCGAGGGGGCGCCGGCTCGGCTTGGGGCGGACCAACCACACCCACTGGTGGGCAGCCGCCCCAGCCCGGCCCCTCCTCCCAGTGTCCCCCCGGCAGGACTCCCAGCCTGGAGCCCATCGTGGTGAGCACACGCGGCCCTCCCATCCCCAGGAGCTGCCCTGGGTGCTCACGGCCCCTGAGCTGGATATCTCCCAGGACGTGAGAGGCTGGGGACCTCCGAGCTGGCCCTGTGTCCGGAGCCCTTGGAGCGTCCACTCACACGCAGGCCCAGGGCACTCACCCCTTGAGCTGCGTGCACACCTGCCCTTCATACCAGGCTCGGGGCCCGAAACCCCACAAGGGGGCCACCACGTCGACGGGAGAGCTGTGGAGCGCTCGGGGGCCTTCCTACTGCATTGAGGTCCAGCCCCACCCTCCCTGCTGATGGCTGAGTGCTCTGAGCCCCAGTTTTCTCATTTGCGGTACAGACAGAAAACGCTGGGGCCGCAGTTTTCAGGTGAGAATACCGAGGTACGCGTGGCTTGGAATCTGGCCCACGGCCACATAAAGCCAGGCCTGGATCGAGGACCGGGGAGCGGGTGTTCTATGGAAGTGGACCCCGATGTGAGCTCATAGACTAGCTGCGACCAGCCCCCTCCTCAGGGAATGACAGATCCCGGTGGGCCTCAGGTGTCGCTCCTGACGCCAGCTCTGAGCAGGGTCGTGACCCAAGCTCCCGACCTGAGACCCGCAGGGGGCAGTGCCCACCCGGAGTCTAATTTGAGAAGAGCCGGTGCTCAGTGACCCCCCACGCCCGAGCCAGAGCACGTACCCTTCTGTCCACTGGCGCCTGCCTCTCCTTTGGGCCCTGTGGGTCCTGGCAGCCCCGGGCAGCCTCGGAGGATGGAGAGCTTGTCGGAGCCCTCCAGACCCACCAGCTTCACCTCTGCAGAGAGACACAGAGCGCCAGTCAGGGTGCTCGTCCTGGGCCTGAGAGCCCTGCAGAGCCCGCGACAGGCCACCCGAGCCACGGGGATCTGCCACGCGGCGACCTCGACCTGGGCCCTTGGCTGTGGCCAGAGTCACCCGTCTCAGATGAAGGGTCAGCCTGGCAGTGAGTTTCCCGCCTCTGGTGGGCACTGGTCAGGTGTGGAGGTGATGCAGGGCAGAGCCCTGGCCTTGTGGTCCACCCTGCCTGAGCCAGCCTCCCCCCAGCCTCAGTGCTGTGTTTCCTCGGGCAAGTCACTCAATCCCTCTGAGCTCTGTCCCTTCGGCGCCCAAGTGGAGACAGGAATAGGGCTGCGGGGAGGATTAGATTAGATAATGCAGAATTTAAACTTCTTAGTATAATTCATGGCATTTTAAAAGAACCTCATAAATAGTGGGTACTTTCACTAAATAACAACAATAAATATTTAAAAGCCTTGGGGAATCTGGGTCAAAGTAACATTTTCACCCCCAGACCTTGGACTTTTGATCATAGAATTCCTGAACTGGAAGGGGTCTGTGTAGGTCCCCTGGATAGGGGACACATTTGATCCAAGGACACAGAGCAAACTCCAGTAGAACTGGAACCAGAGATTCATTTCCTTCTCAGAAAAAAAAAATTAATTTTGTTGATTTCAAAACTGAAATATCATCACGAGAGACAACTTAGAGGATGTGGGAATCAGTTGTGCTCTCACTGGAGACACAGGCAACTGTCGTTTCGTGGTCTGTCTCCAGCTGGGACTCTCTCATAAGGCTGCCCCCATAAATACGTCCTCCACTCAGGGGGAGGCTGGTGTGTCCTCAGGGGCAGCCTCTTGCCAGCTGTGGGCCCCCTCCACCTGCGTGGGATCGGGAGGGAGACCACAACCCCCTCTTAGACCCAAATCTGCTGAATCGCACTCTCTGGGGTAAAAGCCAGAAATCTGCACTAACAAACCCCAAGTAAACGTGGGAGCCCTTGGATTAGAACATCTTCCAACATCTTTCTGAAAAGTCCAGGAGAAGACGGAGAAAGTGATGGGCATGGTCCTTCTCCTCGGTGGCAGCGTCGAGACCTGGCTGGGAAGTTCGTGGGGCGAATCACGGGCTTGAGAGTTGGACAGATCTGGGATTAAACTCCTGCTCGCTCCCCCCGCCGACCTGTGTGACCTCGGGCCTGTGCTGTCCTAGTCGCAGATGAAGTGGGGCTGTTGAGCCTTCAGAAGAAGATGCATACGGAGGGTTTAACCCTAGATACTATTTGTGGTCAATGAGTGGGTAGTTACCAGCTCTCAGGGACTGGAAATTCAGGTCCATCTCACCTGGACAGGTGTCTGCAGTCTGGGCGGCCAGGGTCCTGAAGCACAGGAGTAAAAGGAGCTGGCCGGTGGGCCCCAGGGCCACGGCCACTCCACTCAGCTCCATGTCCTCTGGTCTCTGACCTTGTGAGCAGGGGAAGCCAGCCCTTGCCTGGGCCTGTGGTTTCTCAGCTCCCACGGGGACACCCACTTCCTGCAGCCTCTTTGGTTACACCAACAGGAGGTACCAGTGATGGCAAAGGGTGTTTCCTTCCTGCTGGGCCCCACCATGCTGCCCGCTGAATCAGGCTCACTTCCCCTGGCAGGATACTCCATTCCCAGTCGAGAGAGCTCCCAGGACCCCTCTGTTGGAAAGGGTCTGCCTTCTTTGTGGCTTAAGGAAAGCCCAGTCCCCCAGACCCCCTCCTCATTACCCAGCTACACCCAAACAACGCTCTGAGACCTTGACTGGGGTATAAGGAGGAGTTGGCTAGAGATGCTCCTTCCCTCGCCTGACTTCCGGAATATTCTAATGACTGAGGCAGTCCTTGAGCACTTAACACAGCAGAAGAGAAAAAAAATTCCGAGCACTTCTTATGTGCCAGATACTACTTATGCCAGCCCCATTCGGAAGACACTATAATCTAAATTTCACAGGTGGAGAAACTGAAGTCACACAGCAAGAGCCTGACGTTACCTCGAGTCTGTCTAATGCTCCAAGGACCACTGGGTCTGGTCATTACACCAGAAGGCGAGGCTATGTCTTATCTCCCTCCAAATCCCAGAGGCCATCCTCCACATCTTGTACTATGATCGCCCTTAACCGGGACATGTGGTGGGCATTCTGTAAAGGGCTTCTGCTGGTGTGTAGAATGTCACTAAGGAGAGTAGGAAGAGGACAAGAGGGGAGGAGCTGAGGGTGAAACTCTTCTGTGGTTTGATATTTTTCTGGGCCAGTGCTCGTGGGCTGGTGTCCCAACCACACCCACTGTCCAACTAGGAAAGAAGCCGGGGATGGCCTGACCAGAGGTTTAGCAACCACCTCTATGGGCACTGGAATGACACTAGACTTTGAAAATTTTTGTGCGGTGGCTCCAGCCCATGGAGATGGAGGGAACAAAGAGGTTGCGTTGCTTCAGGCGTCGCATTGCCTCAGGCACCGCTCAGCCTCCCTGAGCTCCTGGACGGGGCAGCCTGTCCCCAGTATGGGCCTGGATTTCATCTGTTGGAGAGGGGCCCGTTCAGGGCTGTTCACCTGGCCTTAGTCAGGACAGGGAGAGAGGCAGCCAGTCTTCGTCCTTCAAACCCCATCTGCCAGTGACAACCCCCCACCCCAATCCCAGGGTGCTTCCTCTTTTTCACATTGCCAATAGAACGAATGCAGGTGAGATGTTGACAGCACAATCAGGTGTCACTTTAATGTTCCTAAGAGTATGTGGGCCTAAGAATACAAAAGAATGCAGGACTCTGTCAAGTTCAGATATCTTAAAGCGGGACCAGTCAAGGTCATTTGACTTCTGACAGTGGCAGGTTAGGTATCTGGGGCCATCTATCCTCATAAAGACAAACAGACAAAACATTAAAAAAGAGATTTACCTGAAGGCATAGTCAAGTGAACCACGTAGGAATGGATTACTTTGCTATGTTCTTGAGAGCAACAGAGATCTGGAGAGGGGAAACCAGCAGGTGGGGTCTCTTTTTGCCAGTCCCCCAAAGATAGCTGAGAAGCTGGTCAGTTACCTCGACAATTTTGCAGCATTGAAGGTCAAAGTTTGGGGTCTATGTTCTGTCAAAGGAGTGGATTTGGGGTGGGATCCAGAGGCATTTCTTCCTAGAAATAAGGATGAATCATCAATAGGCAGACCTAATGTGGACTGCAAACTGGTTTTGAGACATCTAGGTGTCCCAGGAAAAAAAATCTCAACTCCTGAAATTCTAATAAGGTCTTCCTTAGATCACTAGTATCCACTTGCTCCGAGCTGGAACCAACACAGATCTTGTCAGAAGGAGAACAGTATGACCCCAGGATATAAATGATTTCTGCCAATATATGTATTTTCCAAATTAAACGTTAGAACACAATAAAAGATAACCAGGTTCATGAGGATAAAAGACAACATGTACAAGAACAAATAGAAACAACAGAGTATAGAAACAGATCCCCAGAAGCTACAGATACTGAAACGACAACATAGTTAATGGTGAAAATTGAATCCTCAGAGATTAAATCACCACTTCTGGTCAACATTGTGTCACTGGCAGTGCAATAAGGCAGAAAAAACAAATACGATGTAAAAGAATTGGAAAGGCAGGTACAAGGCCGTTATTATTTTCAGAAGGTACGATTTATGTAGAAAATTCAGGAGAATCTAAAATTAAAATTTTTAGAATGAATAAGCTTAGTAAAAACCAATTATGCTCCTAAAAGCTAGCCAGAAAGAATTACAAAATGAAATTTTAAACATTTGCAATAGTGACACCAAAATCAAGTAACTGTGAATAATTCCAGCAAAATACACGCTAGTCCTCCATCTGGCAGTAGAAAACCATCAGATGGGAATGAGTGATGTTTAAAAAGATTAGAACAATTGGAAGAATATTCTCCGTTCGTGGATTCAAATGCTCAGTATTGTAAAAATCTTAGTTTCTGTCTCTTTGATATGCAGATTCACTGCATTAGCAATTAAATGCCCATTTTATTGGGAAACTTGAGAAGGTGAATTTGAAATTTGTTTAAAAGTTTAAAGGCCAATAATTAGGATGTTTTGAACTAGAACAAGGAAGGATGACTCGCTCTGCTTGAGGTCAATAATTGTCGCGAAGATATAGTCACTGAGATGGTGTGGTACCGGCTCCAGGATCCAGGCTAAACCAGCAGAACTGAATAAAGGGTCTAGAAACAAATTCAGGCGTAAACGGACCCTTGGTGCATGACAGTGGTGGCTCTGCAGAGCAATGGGGAAACAATAAACTTTTTAAAATTGAAATATAGTTGATTTACAATGTTGTGTTAATTTCTGCTGTACAGCAAAGTGATATGGTTTTATATATATATATATACTTTTAAAAATTCTTTTCCATTAGGGTTATCATAGGATATTGAATATGGTTCTCTGTGCCATACGGTAGAACCTTGTTGTTTATCCATTCTATATATAATAGCTTACATCTGCTAACACCAACCTCCCACTCTATCCCTCCTCCAACCCTCTCCTTCTTGAATAAACTTTCAATAAACACTGTGAGCTGCTGGGTATTCATGTGGGAAAACCAGAAATGAAACCTGACCCTAATCATGAAAAAAATCAATGTTGGCAGAATTATAGACCCAAATGGGAATAGTTTTAGACCACATTGTAAGATATCAAATAACCTTGGTGAATGTAGGAATGAAAAGCACTAAACATAATGGAAAAGTCTGAAAATTGACGTTGAAATTAAGAACTTTGGGCTCTCAAATGATACCCCCAAGAGAGTGAAAAGACACGCCGGGGGCGGGGGGAGGAGGTATTTGCAACACACAGAAGTGACAAAGTGTTGTATCCAGGATAAATAAAGAATTGCTGTAAATCAATACACCTGCAGAAAGTGGCAAAGTGCCTTATACAGACACTTCCAAAAGAGAATATTTCAACGGCTGATAGAAAAATGAAATGGTGCTCAACTTTATTAGTAATCAGAGAAATGCCTGCGTGTACCTGCTCGACGACCCACAGACTGGAGCTCAGTCCTCCACGGCAGTGCATGTCCAGGCACAGGAGACACATAGAACAACGTCCCACTCCAAACTACAACAACCGAAATGTCCATCCAGAGCAGGATGGACCCCTGGCCTGAGGGGTGTTCAAGCCGGAGAAACCTGCACAGGGTAACAGGACAAATTTCTGCTTCCTTCGAACCATCACAGAAACTCACGAACACAAACACAACACTGAGCAGAGGAAGCCACACAAGGGAAGAAACATTGTTTGATTGCATTTGTAAGTAAATTTCAAAAGCGGGCAACTCTGCACAGCTGTAGTGGGGGTGCCTGCTGAGTGGAATGTGGAGAGAAGGGCAAGCATGCCCCCAGTCAGGATGGCAGCCCCCTCGGGAGGGGGGCCTTGGCATTGGGAAGGGGCTCGGAGGCTGGCGCTGGGCTCCGGCTTCATCTGGGTCGTTTCATGCACTCTGGTGAGGAGGTGTTATCTTCCACTTCAGAAAGGAAGTTTAAATAAAATGAAATGGAGCGTGCAGAGGCCTCAATCATTCTGTATTGCTTCCTGCAGCAGTGCAGCCATCCCCAGGAAGCACAGAGACTTGCAAGGGCCCCTTGTCCTGCCTATCTCCTGGGATGCCAGCTGTCACCGCACAGGTGCGACTTGCTACACTGCATTTAAGGGGAGGTGGTCCCAGGGGGCCGGGGACTCCCGCACACCTGCCCTCCATCCCGGTACCAGGGGCTGCACAGTGGAGCTCTCCTGAGGGCTTTGCACGTGACTCCACGGATGCAGGAAGGATGTCAGAGCCCACCCGGTGATACTCTCTCTCCACCCAGGTCCTGGCTCGGGGGTAAAGGACCACACCAGCCGCCAGAGCTTCAGGAGCTCCAGAGCGGGAAGGGTGGGTCTGATTTAGGGTGGGTCTTCCAGTGGGGCCTGGGACAGGGGGTGCCACCTCATTGTTTAGGACTGGAGGATGCAGCAGAGAAAGGACTTTGAGCCAACGGGGTTCCAATCAAACTGCTGATTTCTGTTGATGAGTTGATGGGTCTTTGGGGGAAATGCAATGAGTAACAACAGCATTTGCAGGTTCCATCTTTCTATGCAAGAGTCTCCAGGAATAGCAGGGCACCTGGGAGAACAGGTGTAAACCGCCCTCCCGCCCCTGCAGAGAACTGGCTACTCCAGGCCACCAGAGCCAGCCTCGGGGTGTGCTCCTCCCTCCCAGGAGTAGGGCGTGTTCCCTGGGCTGGGCTGTCCCCTGTCTCTCAGCTGGTCCTCCTTCCTTTCTGCTCCTGGAAGGACTCGCATCTGGAGGGCTGCAGGAAAGGGGGCCACATGCCGGCCGGACCTGGTGGGGTCCTGCACACAGTACACCTGAGATCCCCCTGAGGCACCTTTGTTTGGCTGTGAGGGCCATCTACACCTGGACCCTTCAGCT